GCGACAACCATATGGCTCCTGCCGGTTGCCGATAACTCGGTTACAAAACATGATCATCTCATACAATAAAATTCAGCATCATGTCTTGACCATATCACATCACAACATGCCCTGCAAAAACAAGTTAGACGTCCTCTACTTTGTTGTTGCAAGTTTTACGTGGCTGCTACGGGCTTAAGTAAGAACCAATCTCATCTACGCATCAAAACCACAACGATAGTTTGTCAATTTGACTCCGTTTTAACCTTCGCAAGGACCGGGCGTAGCCACACTTGGTTCAACTAAAGTTGGAGAAACTGTCACCCACAAGCCACCTCTGTGCAAAGCACGTCGGGAGAACCGGTCTTGCGTAAGCGTACGCGTAATGTCGGTCTGGGCCGCTTCATCCAACAATACCGCCGAACCAAAGTATGACATGCTGGTAGGCATTATGACTTATATCGCCCACAACTCACTTGTGTTCTACTCGTGCATATAACATCAACATATAAAACCTAGGCTCGGATGCCACTGTTGGGTTTCGTAGTAATTTCAAAAAGTTCCTACGCACACGCAAGATCATGGTGATGCATAGCAACAAGAGGGGGAGTATGATCTACATACCTAGTAGATCGACAATGGAAGCGTTTGGTTGATGTAGTCGTACGTCTTCACGATCCGACCGATCAAGCACCGAAACTATGGCACCTCCGAGTTCTAGCACACGTTCAGCTCGATGACGATCCCCGGACTCCGATCCAGCAAAGTGTCGGGGAAGAGTTCCGTCAGCACGACGGCATGGTGACGATCTTGATGCACTACTGCTGCAGGGCTTCGCCTAAGCACCGCTACAATATTATCGAGGACTATGGTGGCTGGGGGCGCCGCACATGGCTAAGGAATAGATCACGTGGATCAACTTGTGTTTCTCTGGGGTGCTCCTGCCTCCGTATATAAAGGACTAGAGGGGGGAGGCTGGCCGGCCAAGGAGGGCACGCCAGGAGAGTCCTACTCCCTCTGGGAGTAGGATTCCCCCCCCCAATCCTAGTTGGAATAGGATTCGCGAAGGGGGGAAAAGAGAGAGAGGGGCCGGCCCCCTCTCCTTGTCCTATTCGGACCAAGGGAGGGGAGGGGCGCGCGGCCCATGTAGGGCTGCCTCTTCTCTTTTCCACTAAGGCCCATCATGGCCCATTTAGCTCCCGGGGGGTTCCGGTAACCTCCCGGTACTCCGGTAAAATCCCGATTTCACCCGGAACACTTCCGGTATCCAAACATAGGCTTCCAATATATCAATCTTTATGTCTCGACCATTTCGAGACTCCTCGTCATGTCCGTGATCACATCCGGGACTCCGAACAACCTTCGGTACATCAAAATGCATAAACTCATAATATAACAGTCATCGTAACCTTAAGCGTGCGGACCCTACGGGTTCGAGAACAATGTAGACATGACCGAGACACGTCTCCGGTCAATAACCAATAGCGGGACCTGGATGCCCATATTGGCTCCTACATATTCTACGAAGATCTTTATCGGTCAGACCGCATAACAACATACGTTGTTCCCTTTATCATCGGTATGTTACTTGCCCGAGATTCGATCGTCGGTATTCCAATACCTAGTTCAATCTCGTTACCGGCAAGTCTCTTTACTCGTTCTGTAATACATCATCCCGCAACTAACTCATTTAGTTGCAATGCTTGCAAGGCTTAAGTGATGTGCATTACCGAGAGAGCCCAGAGATACCTCTCCGACAATCGGAGTGACAAAACCTAATCTCGAAATACGCCAACCCAACATGTACCTTTGGAGACACCTGTAGTACTCCTTTATAATCACCCAGTTACGTTGTGACGTTTGGTAGTACCCAAAGTGTTCCTCCGGTAAAAGGGAGTTGCATAATCTCATAGGTATAGGAACATGTATAAGTCATGAAGAAAGCAATAGCAACATACTAAACGATCGGGTGCTAAGCTAATGGAATGGGTCATGTCAATCAGATCATTCTCTCAATGATGTGATCCCGTTAATCAAATAACAACTCATTGTTCATGGTTAGGAAACATAACCATCTTTGATTAACGAGCTAGTCAAGTAGAGGCATACTAGTGACACTTTGTTTGTCTATGTATTCACACATGTATTATGTTTCCGGTTAATACAATTCTAGCATGAATAATAAACATTTATCATGATTATAAGGAAATAAATAATAACTTTATTATTGCCTCTAGGGCATATTTCCTTCATCTACTACGTCCATTCATAAATATAATACGTTTGGGCAGTTTCTCCATTCCTAAATATAAGTGTAACGTTTCATGTTTCACTTTTGTTCGCATCACCCTTCGTTCAACCTTTTCTGAATCAATTTCACTTTAATTTACTTACCAAATTTCTCATCAAACTATAAGGTAAATCACAGGTAGCATTTGATATGTACACAATCACATTAACATGGACAGGTAATCACAAACTAACATACCAGAATATTTATATTTCATTGTGACGCACGGGCATTGTCCTTCTTAAGGGTGATTGATTAGGGTCCAAACCAAAATTTGAGTCAGTGATATTCAAACCCCTGATCTCAAACCAAAAAGTTGGCTTAGTTGAGTGTATATCTTATGAAGACATGAAGGATTTAGGCTTCAAGCTGGCTTAAAATCAAAAAGTGTTCAACATGAAAGTTGCTCACCTCGTTGAAATAAGTTTGGTTTTATGGATCATCTCAACCCAAGGTCATATGCAATCTCCACAAGGTCATATGCAATCTCCACAAACGATGCCATGTGACAACATTTGACTTGCACAAAATTCCACACTCACTTGTCCAACTTAAGGTAAGGTTTGCAGATATGAAAAAAATCGAGTCCTTTTTTATTGTAGGGGAAGTCCAGCCACCTTATATATAGACGAGAAGGGGGTGATTGATTGAACAACACATAATCGATCAAATCAATCTACCACTTTTACCTTCTATCATTTTATCTCCGCTTCGGTTTTGTTCTTCTTCTTGTTCGACGACAGCGAACCTCGAGGCCTTAGGGGTGGTCAGGCGGACCATGGGCAACCCAAAACCTTGCGCGCCCTGACAGGGTCCCTTTTGGGCATGTGGGTTTCATATCCTCAATAGACATCACTGATTCACCGACGTGTCTTGCATATTGCACTCCCGACCAGGCTCACTCGTCGATGTGTCATGCGTATCGTGCTCGATGCTGGGGCGACACATGACGTGTTCGTGTGCGAGCAATACCTAAAAACATGTACCTTGTGAAGCACCTTGCAATAATATCCATCCAACATACTCCAAACTTTTTCTACAAGAATTAAACCACATATTTGATGTAATTTCAAATTACAAGATTTTTTTAGTTCTCATTTGCTACTATTTAGTTTTTAAATGCACGTTTTGGCATTTTTCTTGCAGAAATATGAATAAACCTAAATAGTTAAAAAAATGCCATTTTTCATCAGTTCATATTACGGGTTTAGGAGATAGTGAAAAAGTCTTAGGAGATTTGACAAGTTTGGTAGTATTACTTTGCTTTGTAATTAGTGCACATGTTGTTTCTTAGATATTTCAAGTCAAACAATGAAGTTTTTAATGACCAACTATTTTCTTTGTACATGTAACTTGAAAATGGAATAGACCATTTACTTTATCATTATTATTGACGAATTTAACATCATATTGCAACTCGTTGTGTCCTAATTTATTTTTAATACTTTGCAAATATCGAAAAGCTCATACCTTGTGAAGCACCATACAAAAATAAACGCATTGTTATCCAATATCGAAATAACTCACATATTAGAGATAATTTCAAATTTTAAGATTTTACAGATCTCATTGTTGCTTTAAGGTTCTAAATGCATTTTTCGGCATTTTCATCCAAAAAAATAGAGACCAACCTAAATGTGATCAAAAAGCGTAAACTTTTGCTTTGGCTCATATTACAGGTTTACGAAATAGGTGAAAATGTCTCACGATATTTGATAAAAGTTTTCATGTACCTTGCTACGTAATGGATGGATCTTTTAGGATGTTTCTTAGTTATTCAAGTCAAACTATGAGGGTCTTGATCTTGGTCCTCAATGTTTGGCATATCACCACTTGGTTGAACTTGGCCTTCATCTAGTATACTACTTAAAAAAAAGAATAGCATTTCTTTTCCTACCCGGCGGAGTGCTTCGTTCAACCTTTCATCCTGTTTCTGAGCATAATTTCAATGGTCTTAATTGTCTCACCTTTTATTGATTTATAGAATAAACTTGTATTTGCTTTGGTAAGCCAGTAAGTGATTACAAATAAAATCCTGAAGTAATATATCACGGGTATGGTAACATTTATTTGCACAATCGCGTTAATATGAGCAGCTAATCACCTAGTAATGTACTCCCTCCGTTCCGAATTACTTGTCTTGTATTTGTCTAGATACGGATGTATCTAGACTCATTTTAGTGTGATACCTCCGTATCTGGAGAAATCTAAGACAAGTAATTCGGAACGAAGGAAGTACTAGAACATCTATATCGCGTTGCAATGGACGGGTAATTATCTAGTCAAAAGAAAAGAGGCTTACCATACCATGTTCAATCACAACATAGTTACGTAATAATAATGAAACCAAAATCCAACTGGACTAGTAACTCTTTTGAGTTAGTTTTGATTTACTAAGCCTTGCATATATGTATCCAACCATCCAATGATGTAGAGGGTGGGGTGTTCTATCCTCCATTTTCCAAAAATACAAACTGGACCGAAGCGGCCGGGGCTATCTCGCCCAAAAGTACCGAAAATCAGATACGCGGATAAGAAAATGTTTTAGTTTCTTGTGAACCAACAAAATGAAGCAGCAGAATATAACAAGAATGTTCCACGGACGCAGCCTGCCCACCTCACCTCCCCTCCCTTCCCCTGCAAACAAACACATGCGTTGAGCTGCGATAGCCAGTATCCTCGTCTCACCCAGAACCCACCAATCGCAGCGCTCCTCTGTATTCCCCTCCAGATGCACCCCTACAAAACCACGGAAATCCATAATTTTTCACAACACAGAGGAAGAGCACACAGACACAGACAAGCAGTAGACCACGCGCCCACAGCCTCAGCCTCAGGTCTCCCTTCGCGCACCGCAGCCACCACCAAGTGCAACCAATCCCCCGACAAAACCCCATCCACTCCTTTATCAGCGTTTCCCTCCCTTTCCTCCGCTCCCCTCCATCCATCCTCAGCCGCCTCTTCGCCGGCCGGCCAGCCAGCCATGGCAAATGCTTCCCTCCAGTCCTTCCTCCCCCAGCACCACCATTCTTTCCTCAGCAGCGCCACCCACGACGGCTCCCCTCCCGCGCTCCTCAAGCTCACCACCACCACCGCCAGCAACAGCATTTCATTCAAGCTCTTCGCCAGCGGCTCCTCCTCGGTGACCACAACCGCCAACTCGCCGGCCCCGACTCCGGCGGCGACAACCTCGCCGCCCACCCCCTCGCTGGAGCTCCTGGGCCAGCAGCTGGCGGCGGGGGACTACCGGCAGGCCGACGAGACCACCCGGGCCCTCCTCATCGTCCTCGCCGGCGAGGCCGCGCGCCGCCGAGGGTACGTCTTCTTCTCGGAGGTCCAGTTCATCTCCGTGGAGGACCTGCGCGCCGTGGACGCGCTCTGGCTGGAGCACAGCGGCGGCAGGTTCGGGTACAGCGTGCAGCGCCGGGTTTGGGAGAAATCGCTGCGCGAGTTCACCCGCTTCTTCATCAGGATCGGGTGGATGAAGAAGCTGGACACCGAGGTGGAGCAGTTCAACTACAGGGCCTTCCCGGACGAGTTCATCTGGGAGCTCACCGACGACACGCCGGAGGGCCACCTGCCCCTCACCAACGCCCTCAGGGGCACGCGACTCCTGGAGAACATCTTCACCCACCCCGCCTTCGACTGCGAGGAAGAGGAGGCAGCTGCAGCAGATGAGGAGGCTGGCACGGGCAGTGCCACTGGTCAGAATAACAAGGACGACAAGAAAAGCAGGGGGAGGTCAAAGAGTTTGACAGATTTCAAGCCCGACTACTCCTTTTAAGGAGCGTGCAAGTTTGTGATGATGCTGTCAATGGGGCAGCTGATTTTAAAAAAAGTCATGTTTCTGTAGTTCGTTTTGGTTGTTTCTGTACTGAACATGCATGGAAATTTGTGACCATATATATTATAAAGATAAGTGTTTGAGAAGCTGCTTGTTCTGGACAAGGATGATTGCATCTGGACATGCAAAAGATGAACTGCATGCGCAGGACAAAGCGAAAATATGTTCTTATGCGATACGCCATTTGGAAACTCGGTGCAGAAATGGCCATGCCATTTTGAGCCGTCAGCTTTCGGCGGATTACCTCCGCTTGTTTCCTGGCAAGTGACTGTGACTGGTGTGAGTGAGAACAATTTTGCTGATGAATCTCTAAAACCTGATGAGACATTTGAGGAAAAAAAATTATACCTTTCTTACTATTGACGCTATTTTTTCCCGTTTCATGCACAAGGGCAGAGCCTCCGGGTATGTTGATGTGAGCCATCACAGGTGAGGCGGTCATCCATCTGCATGTACAAGCACGCTCCAGGATTCTGAAACAGCAGCCAAACGAAAATTAGTTCCATGTTTTAAGTCTCTTCGCCAACACTCTTAGACATGTCCAGCACACGCAGTCCGTGCGCGCGCACTCAGACAGAATAATGCAAGCATCAGCTATATGAATATATCGAAATATCTGGGCGAGCGATGCTATTTTCTGTAAGTTTATTTTGCAGGTCATGGCACTAGATGTGTTGGTTCCCTCTGCAGTTTGAACACCAAAAGGTCTAAAGGCAAATGCCTTTGTGAGTGTGGCGCATGTGTGCTTCCCACACGCACAAAAATACTAAGCTTTCTAGATAATCCTGATTTTTTACATCCAAGAAATAGCAGTCACAGCAAGATACAACAACTATGGGGTTGTAAGTCATGAAGTCATATGTATTGTGCTAAACTGCTAATGCTTGATTCCTTGCCTAGTTGAGATGGCCGCTTAGTTGAGGTCAAAAGGACAAGGAAAATGGTATTCTCAGGGTTGATTCTCACAACGAAGTTGTTAGTAATATTAGTGAGTAGCTAATATCAGCCTTCTTAAATTGCAAGTATGTATAAAAGTCAAGTGCAGCATATCTTCCATGGAGATTGCCGAGAGATAACATTCTGGAGATAAAGAAATTGAAGAAAAATCATGGTAGTTGACTATTTTGAGGGGTGATCAGCACATTTGCGGACACTTTCGAGTTGGAAAATGGCCAGAAGTATACACATAAACAAAATTTATTTTATGCATATCAAAACATCCTTTTTCTAGAGAGAGACTCTTAACAGTCTGCATGTGGTCAAACAACATAAATATACAGGAGATAACCATTATATGGGAAATCAGCAAATACAAAATAATGCATTAGTCATACCAAATTTTTTGGAGCTTCGTCTACAACTTCGGCAGGTTGATCGGGCCCAAGACTGGGAAAGCAACCATTTTTGCATCTCATATATTTCTGCAAACTGGTTTCAATAATAAAACATGAGCAAGCAAATGCTGATTTTTTTTCTTGAATTGATAAATAATCAGATAAAAAGATCGACACAACTCATTTCAAATCAGACTCCCCGACTAAATTTTCCTCGTGCTGATTTGCGACATGAAAGAATTTGTTTTAAAAAAAATTTGAAACGGAATTTGTTTAAAATAGAAGTGCAGCAGAGATGGTTTTATAGCAAGAACCATAAGCATATGTAACTTACTAGTTACTAGTATTTGGATATCCTAGATGAATAATGATAAATAAGACCAAATAACAGTGTTTCATAAATTATGTTAGTGACAAAAAGACCAAAATCACACTGGTAATAGAAAAGCCTCATATGAGGTTCAGAATGATTATTTTCTGAAGAATCTACATGTTAACAATACTGCTGTCGGTAATTATAGGCACTCTAAGAATATGTTTTATATTGAAACTTGGTTCACCACTTTAATTTTGGCAATCACACGTGATATGAAATCCACCTCATATGGACAACTACAACGTAAAATTTTAGATTATGCACAAAATAGGCTGCAGACTTTTATCAAGATATACGATGCTTTTCTTAGCTTCCATCACTCCACTGTATAAGATATATGGTGTTTTCCTTAACATCCATCACTCCACTATACACGATCCTGTCTCTTCTCCAATTAAGTGTTTTGCTTTATCATTTACAAACTTCTGCTAGAATTGTTTCATTTAATCAAGTAAGCAGTAGTTGATAATTCAGAACTTGGAAGCGTGTAGATATCTGAAACTTCTCCAGCAAAGAGATTGCTTTCATATTCAGATTGCGTAACTGGATATGGGATGGAGCAAAACAGCTGATTAGAACGACGGCATGCTTTAAAGCCCTGCAGGCCCAAAACAGATGTAAATAGTGACTTCCTTTAAAATACTGGTTCATATCAACTTTAGAATATCAGTTCATCGTCAATTTTCATCTAAAGAACTGTGTCGTTCAGACTATACAACAAAACAATTAACTGGGTCGCGTGCAATCATACAAAAAAAATGTTATTTCCATAAAAGCACTCAACATAATCACAGTGGAACTTGCTACTCGAGTAGTCATTCAGACTAAAATTATTCTATCAGGAAAAACATCTGAGGATAATCATCAAACAATAATATTTACAATGATGTATTATTTGAACGGAAATCATAGAAATATTAGATATTTTAAATAAACTTACATCTGACATTTGTTCAACTCAGAAAGCCTGCTTGGAACACATGATTGTCCTTTTGCTCTGCATGCAGAACTACATGATTCCCCCTGCCTAAATTTCAGGTTTGATTACATAAGGAAATTCCCATGGGCATCATTCACTGAACTACATTTAGAGCTTAAATTGGAAAGACCTTACCTTCCCAAAATGACGTTAATGCCATCCAACCTTGATCCAAAATTAGATTCAGTTGATCCTGCTAAATAGTTATACATAGTCATTTCCTAATGCATAACTTCAAGAACGTGACAATGTTGGCATTAGTAGTGGACAAGAAGTTAGCAGCTTGTGCACTTACTGGGCCCAGCTCAGACTAAGCTTGAAACTAGAAAGGAAGTGATCAGAGGTCTAATTCTTGTTTTCTACAACACATCCAAGAATTCAACAGCAAAAGTAGTCCCCAACCAATGCCAACAAATCTCAGGTTCCTATCTTCCTTACAAAACTCATTAAAATCCCCCTACCCATGCACTATTATCGGACCTATCAAGCTTGTTATAAATCTCTAACAGAGGATAACTAACTGATTGAATCTAACTGACAGATAGACAGGCAATGAAATGATAAAATGAAAAATGCTAACAAACTGCTTCCTGTACTTTATTTTGGTGTGACTAGTGCTGGCTGCTGTTCCACAGTCATGCCATGAGCCAAAGTGAACTGGCTTGGCCTTTATGAACGGGGCTAGGCCACCACTTCTGGCTCGTAGCATGTAACATCAAGTGAGCTGAGCCAAGTGGAGCTTGGCTCGTATCCACTCCTAATGGGCGGTTCAATTTGAATCTCATGAGGAAATAGTGCATTAGCTAAATAATTTAGGTACTAGAAATGATGGTGAACAGATGCTATTACTAGAGAATGTGGTAACTTAGCCAAGATGTAAGAATATAATTTGTACCCGATGAATTTTGCTGCACCAGAAAGCAATGATGGAAATCACTCAAATATGCATTTTCATGGACCTGGTAGATTCAAAGAACAACTTAGACTGAAAGGAAAAATTGTTTACCAGATAATTTTAACTTGTAGTTGTTGAATTTATAACATGCCAGATTGCCAACAAAATAAGACACTGCAAGGATGAAAATATACTGGAGCTCTGTTCCTATTATAGATATTCATGTAAAAGGTGTCCTGAAACATTCATATTAGAGCCAAAATCACTGTTTTGACTCTTTTAATGAAGTTTAGCACTAATTGACTCTACCTGAAAAAGATTTCACGGTCTGAACCTTTTAGGAAATGCCACCCACTGTATCAGGGCTTATTGTTTACGCAGGAAACACCATGGTCAACGGTGTTTGCGCCCTGGCCCATGCCCGCTGACCTGCTAACGCGGCAATGTCAAACGCCAAGACATGACTAATCGTATTGACCATGCCGCGACAGCAGATCAGCCAGGCATGGTTCAGAGCGCAAACGCCGTTGACCATGGCATTTTCTGTGTAAACAATACGCCACGGTGGGTGGTGTTTCCTAAAAGGGTCAGATCGCGAATTGTTTTTCCAATTGGGGTCAATTAGTGCTAAACTTCATTAGAAAGGACAAAACAGTGATTTTGGCCTTATATTTGCACGCTAAGAAAGAACGCATACCACGCTTGCAGAACTATGGCGGCATCTTCCCATGCAGAAATCGAAGATATTGGCGTAAGTTCCTAGAGGATAATAAAGTGTAAACTTCTTCTGACACATTAAAGTTCTCAAGATACACCAAACAATAACTACAAAAATCTTACCAGCAGTGACTGGCTTAGCTACCTTCAACTTCAGAACATCTGCTTCCTTGGTCTGTCAAAAGGATGAGTAAATAACACAGGAAATAACTCATTTCTTTCAATCTTCCTATGCCAAATCCAGTACTGCTAGTAAGAATGTAAGATTTACCATAGAAGGATTCAAGCAGCAAGAAACACAATACTCGTAAGAGTTGCAGCACTGCGAATCAAGGTTGCAGCCCCTGCATGGTGCGATGAACTGTGTTAGATTTTTAGTGTTGCCATCTTTCTACGACATTTGTGCAACAAAAGGTAAGAAACTCACTGACAGGAGAAGCGTTCTCCTGTTTGTGGGCAGCAGCGAGACCATGGATCAATCGAAAGGGCAGAACATACATAACCTAAAAGAATGTGTTCACAAGGGAGCATAAGTTTACAACACGGTATATCTAAGCAGGAGAGAGGCACAGGTGTATTACCGTTATCATCTGATATCAAATGCCGTCCTTGAACAGTTGTCCTGCATATGATGGGTGCAGCAAAACCAATGTCCTTCCTGAACAAGACTTGCAATCAAGTTGTGGCTTCAGATTTAGTGAATAACATCCGTATGTCAAGCTTGCATCTGGAACTGTACTAACACTAGAATGGAGAAACATTGATAATCATGGACTCATGGTGGGATGTGCAGTGAAACCTTTGCCCCGGCACAGAGCACCATTTGAATAGAGTAATTACCATATATTTAGCTCATCACTTAAAAGTATCTGATATAATCATTTCTTCTGACATTGTGACAGTAAATAAAAACCAAGAAAATGAAAACATACACACCATGGTGTAGCAATGTGTTGAGCAGAAAGCATAATTGCGCCAAACATAGTCCAGGATCCCAACCCCACAATTAAAATTCCACAAACCATAATCAAACATGAGGCGTAATTCCACAAACATAATCGAGCATGAGGCCTCGTTCCAGAAACATAATCACAGACAGCAACGAGCATGTAATTAATCAAGTAATTTAGAGCCGCGGAGCAACTGGTGAGGCTCCCAAGTCCCGTGCCAGGCCGCAGCAAACACGGAAGAACTACCACGGATACGGATGGATTTCGAAATAGTTTAGAGCTGCGGGTGGCGACGATGAGAGCGCTCGCATTTCCAGGATGCGACGCTGGACAGGGGAGGCGGGGGGTTTGCGGGGAACGGATCTCACTCACCGGATGGCGGAGACGGGGGCAGAGAGGAAGGCGGCGGCGGCGGCGACGCAGAGGATCCTGCGGAGGAGGAGGCGCGGGTTGGCCATCGGGCCGGCGAGGGGGACGCCGGGGCAGCGGGTCGACGGATGCGCGCGTGGGAGCTGGTTTTTTCTCACTGAAACAGAGTGGCGAACGAGCGAAGATACAGGGAGGAAGAATACAATGATCCCACACGGACCACCTTCGACTCAAAGGAAAAGTGGAGAAAAGATTTAGAAATAGAGATTTCACTGGTTCAAAAGTAATGGGGCAAAGGGAAAGTGAAGGAAAAAAATAAAGCCATCTCAGTTTTTTTAAAGAAAAACGCAGAAATTCAAAAAAAACACTCGAGCCTTTGGTTAAAATCCTTAGTGGCATAATAACATTCTTTAAATTTATGTTATATGAGTGTCTTGTAAGGTCTCCTTTGGTTAAAAGAAAAAGTGGAGAAGCATATAGGAATATAAATTTTTCTTATGATGCTATTATTCGAACCTTTTTGGTTCAAAGGAATGTAATAAAGGAAAAAATGAAAGAGATCTTCCTTTTATTTCGGTATCAAAGGAAAAGTGTAGGAATTTTACAATTCACTTGGACCTCTTTTTGAATTTTTATGAAAAACGAGTCTGAGATCCTTGATGGCATAATAACATGCTAATTATACATCTTTCATGTGATTTGATGTTGTTCACGAGGAATCTATACTTTTCATATTAACATTTAAGTCTATAAATACGTGTGTGTTTTTTGCGTCACGCGGATTAGGTGGACTCGGGGCCTATTCATTAACTCTCTAGCTCTCGGCTCCTTCAACTCCATCTGATACGATGAGCACATCATGTCATACTTACCCTACTTCAAAAAATAAATGTTTCCTATTCTTTTGTATGTTGGTACTGTGAAACAATTCTTTTTAATCTAAGTGATCACATGTTCACAAATACCTCATATTCTTTAAGGATGGCAATTTTACCCATGGGTACGAGTACCCGTGGATACCGTACCCGCATGGCCAGGGTATGGTCATAATTTTATACCCATGGATAGTATCCATACCCTACCTGTTAAATCATAGGTGGCGTACAGATATAGCCTTGTGGCCATGGATATACCCATACCCTATCCATTTATACTGACATGTTGACCTTACTCATGGAGCTCCAACATATGCGCAAAGGTCGATAGCGTCAAAGGAGCTGGGCGACCCAACTTGTAACACCCCGTATGTAACTTGCCATATTTGTATTCCAACTCTTGCCATTTCCGGCACTAAGTTATGTTATTTTCTCGTTGTCGGGTTTTTGTCTTCGTGTGCTTTTGTCTTTGTCATGCATCTCATATCATGTCATTATGTGCATCGCATTTGCATACGTGTTCATCTCATGCATCCAAGCATTTTCCCCGTTGTCCGTTTTGCATTCCGGTGCTCCTATGTCCTCCGGTGTTCCTTTCTACCTCTTTTCGCGTGCGGGTGTTAAACGTTTTTGGATTGGACCGAGGCTTGACAAGCGGCCTTGATTTACTACCGGTAGACCGCATGTCAAGTTTCGTGTCATTTGGACTTCGTTTGATACTCCAACGGTTAACCGAGGGACCGAAAAGGCCTCGTGTGTGTTGCAGTCCAACACCCCTTCAAAGTGGCCCAAAACCCACCTAAACCTCCTCCATCATTTAGATCGTTCGATCACGATCGCATGGCCGAAAACCGTGCTCAATTTGGAGCCTCCTAACTCTTCCTACCTATAAAAAGGTCTCCTCCCCCGAAAATTTCGGAACATTTCGCACCCTAACCCTAGCCCCCTTCTTCCTCAGCGCGCCGGACACGTCCGGGCGCGCCGGACACAACCGCCACCGCCAATCGCCCGCCGCCACGTGGCCCCGCTCCGCCCCACATCGCTGCCTCCACCGCGGGCCCGCCAGCCCGAGGCCTGCCCTCCCCGGCCCGACCACGCCTCCCCACTGCCGCGGGCAACCCGAGCCGGCCCCCGCGCCACCGTACGCCGCACCGCCGGCCGCCGCGCCCGACCTCGCCGACCCCGCCGCCGCAGCGCTCCGGCCGACCATCGCGCGCCGCCCCTCGCCGACCTCGCCGCCGTGCCGCCGTGTCGCCTTCGGCGACCTCTGAAGCCCCGGGCGACCTCTCCTCCCTCCTCCTCGACTCCGGCCGCCATCTACAGTAACTCCGGTCGGCGAACCTCGAAGTCCGCGCCCGGCCGATCCGGATCTAGATCTGAAACCCTAACCTCGGTTGACTTTTGCCCTAATTTCCAGTAATTTATGCATTTTTCATCATGCCATATCTCTGCATCCGTGGCTCCGTTTTGGGCGTGTAGCATATCAAATTGTTCGTCTGACGAGTACTTCATTTCATCTCATTGTATCATGTTCATTTGAGCTCATGTTGATTCCCTAAATATTGTTGGAAGTGTGCTAGTTTCTGTTAGTTTCAGATTCATATCAGTAATTGGTCATTTGTCATTTTTGCCATGATTGATGTGTGCCTCCTATGAACTTGAGCCCTACATATGTTTTGAAGTATGCCATGCCATCTTTACAGGGGTGTATGCCATGTATTTTTTTGATCTCTGTGGTGACTAGCACAAGCATGCAAAGTAGCCCTAGTAATGTTGCTGATTTCAGGGACTTAGAAATATTCTAAGTCTTTGTCCTGTCAATATTTTTATGCCTTGTATTCATGTTGCTACAGAGTGATCCATGCCTCTTCTGAGCATGATCAGTAAGGATGTTTTGTATGTATTGTTGTGCTCTATCCATCCATATCTTTATTTGCAATTATGGAGCACCCTAGCTTGACTCAATCGAGCTCTACTTTTGCTATAAAATGTTCCTGGCAGAATGTTTACGTGTTAAGCATTTTTGACGAGCTTGTTGTAGTTGATCCATGCATGCTATGTTGTTGTTCTTGCCATGTTTAGCTTCTATGTCATGTCTAATTGTTGGGTGTATGCTTAGTTTGTCATGCAATGCCTTCTGGTGAGTGCATCGAGCTCGTAAACATGCCTACTTAATATCTGTTTTGCCATGTTCCAGTTTTCTACTAAGTCTGAATCTGTTAACGATAATTACTATGTTCACATGGTTGCCATTGTATTTTCTGATCCCTTTTGGCTTGTGGTCAGTAAGGGACTTTTGTTGTATGCTTTGAGTAGCTTCATGCCATGCCTTGCTTTGCCATGATATGCTCCTGTAGCATATTGTTATCTTGCTCTAAACATTGCTTCCTGATGTTAAATTTCTGCCATGTTGTTAATTTTACTAAGTCTGTAACCTGATATCTTTTGCACTTTTGTCATGCTTATTTGAACCTGCTATTGAGTGAATTAGCCGTAGCTCAGTGTTCATCTTTTGTCAAGCATCTTGAGTGGATCCCTGCCATATTTTTTGTTGCTATGTTAGAGTGCAGTAGCTTGTTCTTGATGCATTTAGGTGGCCTCATGCTGTTAATCACAGCTTTGTGCCATATTTGTTTTGTTTGCCATTTGCAAAACGTGCATCCGATTCCGGTGATCTTTATATCGATTTCGATCGAAATCAACTCCTCTTTCTAGTGGCACTCTTGGATTTCCAATTTGAGGCCAAGTTCAATCATTCCTTTTCCGAATCATGCATATGCATCGCATACCGCATCCCGCATACCATGCCATGTTTTGCATCATGTTGCTTGTGCATTGCACGTGGTTGATTGTGTCTCCCTTTGCTTGTGTTCTTGCTTTGGGTAGAGCCGGGAGACGAGTACGTGATCGAGGAGCCCGTTGAGTACGTTTACGAGGATCAAGCTAACGTCAACTCGGAGAACTTTGCAGGCAAGATGACCATACCCTCGAAATCACTTCTATCTTTGCTTGCTAGATGCTCGCTCTATTGCTATGCCTATGCTACGATACCTACCACTTTCTTATCATGCCACCCATATTCCATGTCAAACCTCTAACCCACCTTGTCCTAGCAAATCGTTGTTTGGCTATGTTACCGCTTTGCTCAGACCCTCTTATAGCGTTGCTAGTTGCAGGTGAAGATTGGAGTTTATTCCTTGTTGGAACATGTTTATGTTGGGGAACGTAGTAATTTCAAAAAAATTCCTACGCACACACAAGATCATGGTGATGCATAGCAACGAGAGGGGAGAGTGTTGTCCACATACCCTCGTAGACCGAAAGCGGAAGCGTTAGCACAACGCGGTTGATGTAGTCGTACGTCTTCACGATCCGACCGATCCAAGTACCGAACGCACGGCACCTCCGAGTTCAGCACACGTTCAGCTCGATGACGTCCCGCGAACTCCGATCCAGTAGAGCTTCACGGGAGAGTTCCATCAGCATGACGGCGTGGTGACGGTGATGATGTTGCTACCGACACAGGGCTTCGCCTAAGCACCGCTACGATATGACTGAAGGAAATATGCCCTAGAGGCAATAATAAAGTTATTATTTATTTCCTTATATCATGATAAATGTTTATTATTCATGATAGAATTGTATTAATCAGAAACATAATACATGTATGAATACATAGACAAACAGAGTGTCACTAGTATGCCTCTACTTGACTAGCTCGTTAATCAAAGATGGTTATGTTTCCTAACCATGGACAAAGAGTTGTTATTTGATTAACGGGATCACATCATTAGTTGAATGATCTGATTGACATGACCCATTCCATTAGCTTAGCACCCGATCATTTAGTATGTTGCTATTGCTTTCTTCATGACTTATACATGTTCCTATGACTATGAGATTATGCAACTCCCGTTTGCCGGAGGAACACTTTGTGTGCTACCAAACGTCACAACGTAACTGGGTGATTATAAAGGTGCTCTACAGGTGTCTCCAAAGGTACATGTTGGGTTGGCGTATTTTGAGATTAGGATTTGTCACTCCGATTGTCGGAGAGGTATCTCTGGGCCCTCTCGGTAATGCACATCACTTAAGCCTTGCAAGCATTGCAACTAATGAGTTAGTTGCGGGATGATGTATTACGGAACGAGTAAAGAAACTTGCCGGTAACGAGATTGAACTAGGTATTGAGCTACTGACGATCGAATCTCGGG